CGGAAGCAGAGCGCCCGCCTCCTTCAAGGCGCATGCGCAAACTGGTATTTAACTTCTGGCGAGCCCTGCAGCCGCCGCCGCGTCCAAATCTTTCTCCGCCCCGAAGCGGCCACGTTAACGTCTCCGCAGCTGTGCCACGTCCGGAGAGGCCACTCCAGGGATCTGCCGCACCGTCCTGACCTTTTGCACCCCGCGGCCCAGAACCCATCTAAGATGGGGAAGCTGGGGCCTAGGTACTGGCCAAAGAAATACCTCAGCATCTGAAGCTCTGCCCCTGTTGCCAGGCTAGTGGTCCTCCTCCCCATTGCTTCTTCATCATCTTTTTAAAATTATTGACACTATTACAGATGTCCCACATTCCTCCACCACGCCCCACGCCCCACCCCGGCTTTGCCCACCTCCACCCCACCCCACGCCCGTCTCCTGGCCATCGCCGCACTGCTGCCGGTCCAGGGGCTATGCATAGACTGTAGGTTCTGGCTAATCTGTTCCCTTTCTTTCGTTCAGCTCCCTCCACCCCCTCCCCTCTGACAGCTGTCAGTTTGTTCCATGTATCCATGCCTCTGGTTCTATTTTGTTCGTCAGGTTACTTTGTTCATTAGATTCTACATATTAGTGACATAATATGGTATTTATCTTTCTCTGACTGGCTTATTTCATCTAGTATATAATCTCCAGGTCCACCCATGCTATTTGCATAGGGTACGAGTTCCTTCTTCTTTACAGCTGTGTAGTATTCATTGTGTAAATAAATGTACCACATCGTTTTTATCCACTCAAATACTGATGGGCACTTGGGTTGTTCCCGATCATAGCTGTTGTAAATAACTCTGCTATGAACATTATTCTTTCTGATTGGTGTTTTGGGATTCTTAGGCTATATTCCCAGAAGTGGGATCGCTGGGTCAAAAGGTAGCTCCATTTTTAATTTTTTTAAGGAAACTTCATACTGTCTTCTACAGTGGCTGCACCAGTCTGCATTCCTACCAACAGTGCACTAGGGTTCCACATCCTCACCAGCACTTGTGGTTTGTTGATTTATTGATGGTAGCCATTCCGACAGATGTGAGATTATATTTTATTGTAGTTTTAATTTGCATCTCTCTGATTAGTGATGTTGAGCATTTTTTTCATGTCTCTTGGCCATCTGTATGTCCTCTTTGGAACGTGTTTATTCAGATCCTTTGCCCATTAAAATGTGGACCGTGTCTCCCAGGGCAAACTGGAGCTACGTACTGTTTGCTTCATCCTATTCGACTATTCCTGCTTTAGCACTTTTTCTCCTCTGTGGCCCTTTCAATAGTATATGGCAAAGTTCAAGAACTCTCTTTTGCAGTCTCATTGCAGGACACCATCTCTCCAACTGCCTGATGCTCCTCTGCCCACTCCCATAGCTTAAAACAATTTTTTTTTCTAATTTGTTGATTTTAGAGAGAGAGAGGAAGAGAGAGAGAGGAACATCGATTTGTTGTTCCACTTATTTATATATTCATTGGTCACTTCTTGCATGTGCTCCAACCAGGGATTGAACCCATAACCTTGGGGGTATCCAGACGATGTTCTAACCAACTGAGCTACCCCACCAGGGCTCCCATAGCATCTTGCCTCTGCTCCTTTGATTGCCATTCCTTCTACCTGGGAAGACTTTCCCTACTTTTTCCTGGAAAATTTCTCTAATTTTAACTTTAAGCTGAGGATTCATTTCTCAGAGCCTTCTCTAAGGTCCTAGGCTGAGAACCAGATGTCTCTTCTGTACTCCCAAGAGCCCAGCCTGTGCCTTTTTCACTATCACTGTTGGCCCCAAAGAGCAGGCTGCTTCCTCAGTACCCGGTATGACGCCATGAAAAATGTCCCCCTGCATGTGTGGTCCTTTCAGATCTGCAACCTCCAATTGTTGAATTATGAGCAGTCCACAAAGTCTGAACGAGAGGTTAGGGAATGGCAGCTGGAGCATGACTGGTCATCCTTCCATAGCAGCTGTGGTCCTTGGAATTTTTTTCTGATGGGAGGCAGAATCCTGCCTTCCTGAAGTTTCTACCATGTGTTTTCAGCCTGCTGGCTCCAATAGCCATCTGAAAGCAAAGATTTGTCCTGGATGGTGGGACTCAGTGGTTGAGTGTGACCTATGAAACAGGAGGTCAGGTTCGATTCCCAGTCGGGGCACATGCCTGGGTTGTGGGCTCTATCCCTAGTGTGGAGTGTGCAGGATGCAGCCGATCAATGATTTTCTCTCATCATTGATGTTTCTATTTCTCTCTCCCTCTCCTTTCCTCTCTGAAATCAATAAAAATATGTTAAAAAAATAAAAGCAGGGATTTGCTCTTGGTTTCCTGAATATCACTTTCTGGGAGTCAATGGTACCCAGATTCTTCTGTGTCCATCTACTCTTCCAACTCCTCATTTGTCAACATCCCAAAAACAGAACACAGTGTTCTTTTTCTTTTAAATATATGTTTATTGATTTCAGAGAGGAAGGGAGAAGGAGAGATAGAAACATCAAGGATGGGAGAGAATCATTGATTGGCTGCCTCCTGCATGTCCCCCACTGGAGATTGAACTCCCAATCTGGGCATGTGCCCTTGACCAGAATCGAACCCAGGACCCTTCAGTCCGCAGCTGATGCTCTTATCCACTGAACCAAACTAGCTAGGGCCAAAACACTGTTCTGATCCAGGGCGGGTCATCCTGGAGCACAGTGAGAATATAGCTTAATGGAATCCAGACCCAATACTTCCTCTGTCTCCTTTCCCTGCTCTCAATTCTTCTACAGCTCCCTAATGTCTATAGAATGTGGACATTTGTCCCCTCATAAGGCACTGTGTGACCTGACTCAGCCTCTTCTTTTATCGTTACCCATTCCAGTGACATAAAACTTCTTACAGTTCCCCAGTTCTGCTCTGCTCTTTCTACTTTCACACGCGCTGTTCCCTCTCCCTGGAACCATCTCCCCTCAGTCTCTTGCCTACGACATACCACCATCCTCTTCGTGTGGCCCTGTCGTCTGTGAAGCCTTTCCTGATTCCTCTAGGCTCCCTGAGTGCCCTGTGATTGACATCTGCTTTCCTGTCTTCTAGGCCCATCTCTTGCATTCTCAATGCCTAGCACAGGCTGCTGTTAGATCCTCAAAACAGAGATCTAGAGAATTTTTGTGGTCAGCTTCCAAGATGGCCCTCAATGGTCCCTGCTTCCTCGTGTTCATACCTAGTGTAGTCCTCTCCCACACTGCATAGGGCTGATCTGTTTAACCAATAAAACATTGCAGAAATGATAATGTGATTTTCAAGGTTTAGTCATAAAAGACATTGTGATTGCTACCCTGCTCTCTCATAGATCACTCACTCGGGGAAGCTAGCCACCATGTTGTGAGGATACTCAAGCAACCTCATGGAGAGGTCCATGTGGGAAGGAACTGAGACCTCCTACCAACAGCAAACACTGACTTGCCAGGCATATGAGCCACCTTACAAATGGATTTTCCAGCCCCCGTCAAGCCTTCACATGACTGCAGCCTGATTGACATGAGACCCTGAGTCACAATTACCCAGCTCCGGAATTCCTAACCCACAGCATCTGAGATATAATAAATGCTTTGGAATAATTAATTAAACTCTAATAGATAATTAGCGCATGTCTAAAGTGTCCTTCTTTTCCCATGATAATTTTTTTAAGTCTTTTGTAGAAAAGTTCGGTTCCATTTTTGAGCACTCTGCATGTTCAGTGGTCATACCACATTTCATGGGAGACTCTGAGATGTCAGCAGTCAGCAGCAGGGAACACCTGGTGGCCCCTCCCCAGTGGCCCCAAACCAGCCAGCTGGCTGTGGCATTCCCAGGGATCCCTACTTTCCAGACAACGAGGGGCAGGCTACAGTCAGGTTTCAAATCTGCTGGGAGCTCCACCCATCCCACAAGAAAAATCAGAGGAGGAAAGTCCATGGAAACTGTTCATATGACATACTTTATTTCCAATCTACAACCATTAAAAACCCTTTGTAAGTTTACACTGTACAGTTATTCTCATGTCTGAAATAAGACATAGGGGCAGGGAGAGCTGGTGGATTGGACCACAGTCATCCTAGCACCCAATCCATCCTGGGAAGGAGCCTTTAAAGATAGGAGTGAGCAGAAGAGGACAGTGGACAGGAGAGGCAGACAGTTTGGCCCAAGGATGCCCTTGGTTTCTTCCCTCCTGAAGACCTTTCCCTGGGCCCTCGACTGCAGGACCCTCACCAGGAAACCAGGCTGGGCAGGAAGGGGGCTTCACAGTATTGGCAGGAGTTGGGAGGGGCAGGATGGAAAGGAAGGACAGCTTCTGGCTCTCTTCCTGTCACTGGGGGTTGGAGCTGCTTTTTGGCACAATCTGCAAGATCTCCTTGGAGGTGGGAGGAGGAGGAGCTGGGGATTTAGGATTCTTTTCTTGAGTTAGGTTTCTTTCCATTTGAAGAGAGGCCATGAGCCTATGAAGTTCCCAAGGGATAAATGGGCAGGGTCTTTTTCTCCTGCCCCCAGGACTGCCAACCCCTGCCTGGCTTGTACAACCTACATAACCTTTTGTAAAACCCAGACAAGTGGGAGAGGTGAGCAAAGCTGGAACCAAGCCAGGGGCAGGAAAAGGAAAAATGTGTGCCTTCTCCCTGTCCTCCAGCTTCCAAGGAGGACATGGGTTTTATTGGGGTGGGGGTGGGGGGCAGGTAAGGAGAGTTCCCAGTCTTTCAGGAGTCTAGAGTTGGTGTTTCCCACCTGTTCCTGGTCTGGGCCAGCCTCAGTCCCTCACCAGGCTGCACTAATTGCTAGCATAGGTCAGCAGTAGGCAAACTCCTGTTTTATCAGAATTATCCAGAGGGCTTGTTAAACCCCAGCTTGCTGGGCCCCAGCCCAGAAGTTCGAATTCAGTAGGTCTCGGATGGTGCCAATACTTTGCATTTCTATCAAGTTTCCAGGTGATGT